GGGGGTTATATGGGGATTCCCATATAACTGGATTCCATTCCTGAAGTTATTATTGCACTAGATGCTAACTAACTTGGATGTAAATTTAAAAATTAATTTAAAATTGTTTTTTAAATTAAAAAGAGAGAAAATCTTTAAAACAAATAAACGCAGGTCATTCACACTCACATGACCAACATAAACTGAACTTCCTTCCAATGGTGGTCCTAACACTAGGAGCCAACATTTATGAAGTGCTTCCTACACACTGAACCATTTACACGAGCGCCCTCAGGTGGACCTCCCAACAGCCCCGTGATCAAAGATAGAATTATTTCTGCCCCCATTTCACAGATAAAAAAACAAAGCTCAAGGAGGTTTAGTTACTTGCTTGGGATAACCCAGCAATGAGTGGCAGGTCTGGAAAATTCCAAAGCCCATCCTCTACCATCGTGTGCACCCAAAACCCATGGCCACAGAAGGAGAGCCTGGAGATTTTACCAGAGGCTTATTTCACTATTAAAAATAGTATTTATATTGGATTGTTTATCTCACTGTTCCCCAGCTACTTAAAACAGGTTTAATATTTACAGTCTAACGTCAAATTTATCATGCAAGGGAATTCTGTTCCAAATCACAATATATAATTATGGTTAACATTCTCTGAATACTAAAAGTGTTTTTATTTTTTTCATGTTTATTTATTTTTGAGAGAGAGAGAGAGACAGACAGACAGAATGTGAGCAGGGGAGGGACAGGGAGAGAGGGAGACACAGAGTCCCAAGCAGGCTCCAGGCTCTGAGCTGTCAGCACGGAGCCTGACGTGGGCCTTGAACCCACTAATGGTGAGATCATGACCTGAGCTGAAGTCGGACGCCTGACCAACTGAGCCAGCTCTGAATACCAGCAAATGTCTTTAAGGCCAAGAGAATAGCATCCAGCATATAATATCCCAGAGCTACACACATTTGGGCCTCTCCAATTTATAACCCCGGTCCTATACTCCTTACCTGGAGCAGCCGCCATCTAGTACAGATCCGGCCCTAAAGCCCTCTTTCCCACTGCCCTTGTCTGCATGGGGTGCTGCCTCCACTGCTCCCTCTCCAGACCACCCCCCACCCTACTTAGCTGCGCAGTGCACGGGGATTGCATACTCAGTGGGGTGGTTGCAAGCCAGATCCGAGAGGAGCCTTGGCTCCCTCATCCAGCAGGGAGACTCTGTGAGCCCAAAGTTCTACTGCGGCTGGAAGTGGGCTGGTCTACCCTGGTCGGAGTCCCCGGTTAACACTCATCCTGGACATGCAGGGCGGGAGCTGGCGCTCCAGACGCTGTTCCACACAGGCTGAATGTCAGACTCCAACCGAAGGCTGTGATTTACAAAAATGCATCCACTCCTCGTTTCACTTCGGAGGAGGGAGTTTGGTGCAGCGGCTTCTGAAACCCTTTAACCCTGAGATGGCGGCAGGCGGAGAGGAGGCTCACTGGGCCCTGGCTGCCGGAGCCCGCGCACGGCTCGGGTCCTCCCTGAAGAGGGGACGCGGCACAGGGGTGGACAGGGGGCCCTCCCACTGACCACAGTTCTGCAGGATCCACCTCTCCGTCCCCAAAAGCGGAGACAGCAGCACATGTAACCACATGGGAGCGCATCTGAGCTTTGAGGTGAGGGAGGGAGTTCCTTGCTCTCCCTCCTCGGTTATGAGAGAGGCTAGCACTTCACGAGAGCTTTGCATTTGATCAGTGGAAAACCTGAGCACGATAGTTGGGGCGGGGGGGGGGGGGGACAGGGCAGGAGGGCCTCGTACAAGTAGAGCCAGATCTCACCTGGTCCCGTTCTCTAACATGAAGCTCGTCAGACGGAAGATGTTCGTGGACCAATACGCCATGTCATCCAGTCCCCCCAGGAAGTATTCTTGGAATTGTTCCACCAAAAACGGGGATCTTCTGGAATAAGTGGGATAAAGCTACAGTAGAGAAAAAGAAAAGTTATCAATAAGTGCTTTTCCTGGTGTCTTCGTAATCCTTTAAATTGAGACTGTGAAGAATGAAGCCTTTACCTTGGAAACGGCTAGCATCTCACCATACCTGCAACACGAACAACAATTTTGCCTGTGAGTGTGGTTTGTACAGAGAAGCAAAGCAGATACTGAAGAAAAAAAATCCATTAACATGTAGCTACTATCATGCAACTGCCTTTGAATGAGCAAAATCCCGTAAATCCAAAACCCAACTCAGGAAACTAAAACGTCAGAAAGAGCTCTAAGGAAGTCACACTGAGATCAGTTGTAAGCTCTCCTCTGGGCGACACCTACATTTCCAAGAACTGAAGGTAGGTACAGTCAACGATTGCACTTTTGGTGATGACTTCTCGGCCATAGAGCTTCTTGTAAATTCCCAGCAGATCTTGGACGGGCACATACCTGAGAAAGGCGTTAGAATAAAATAAGATTCTGAAATTAAAGATAAATGGCCAGCAAGAGCAGCTACTGTTCACTCCATGATTACTTTGGGCCAGGAATTATGCAAAGGGCTTTCCATGAGCTATTTATTTCGTCCTACCTACAAGCCCCAGTGCTTGGAATTACTACATTCCTGCTTGACATCAGAGGAAGCTAAAGCACAGAAAAGTGAACTGATTTCCCCAAAGATGCACAGCAAACAACTGTACCTTAACCCAATATTTATGGAGGTACATTGGAAGACAGGAACTCTAACGTGTCAAAAGAATTAGTCTTGTGAATTCAGTTCAAGGAGCAATATATTTTTATTCTTTTGAGCACTGAATTGCTATTGAAAGTTCTTAGTTTTAAAACACCAAAATTGGGGGGCGCCTGGGTGGCGCAGTCGGTTAAGCGTCCGACTTCAGCTCAGGTCCGCGATCTTCCATGGTCCAGTGAGTTGAGACCTGTCGTGCGACTCTGGGCTGAGGCTCAGAGCCTGGAGCCTTTCGATTCTGTCTCCTCTCTCTCGCCCCTCGTTCATGCTCTGTCTCTCTCTGTCCCAAAAATAAATAAACATTGAAAAAAATTAAAAAAAAATGAACAAGTATGGAAGCCTGGGTGGCTCAGTTGGTGGCGTCCAACGCGAACGTCAGCGAGCTCATGGTTTAGTAGGTTGAGCCCCTCATCAGGCTCTGCCTCACAGTTCAGAGCCTGACGCCTGCTTTGGGTTCTGTGTCTCCCTCTCTCTCTGCCCCCCCCCATTCATTCTCTCTCCCTCTCTCTCTCTCCTTCTCTCTCTCAAAAATACATAAACATTACAAAATATTTTTTTAAAAACACCGAAATGGCTCCTCACCCCAACATCCTGGTTTAGACCACACAGAAGTAAGAAGTGAGACAGTAAAAAGAATTCTAAGTCAGGTTTTGATTCACAATATTCCTTATTTCAGTCAAAAGAGCAGCATACATTAGATTAATGCTGAATCATCTTCCGTTTTTATTTCTGAAACCTTAGAATACACCAGACAGAAATCACAACCAAATAAAACCTGATTTTAGTATATTTATGAGAAAGACTCTATGGAGAGATCCATTTTTTTTTTTTTTTTTTTTTTTTAATAAGAGCACCAGAGTGGTCCTCCCAATAAAAATAGCTCCGGGCTGGACAAAATAACAAAAATATTTTTTTTAGATGAATCACGAAGCTAGCAAGAAAGTGAAAATTTTCCAAAGGCCCAAAATAAATTGAAACTGGAAACTTGAAGAAGTAAGCAAGTGGGGAAGCCAGGCTGTGCCCCGAGCTCTTGGCGATTTTGAAGGGCTGCAGAAGGTATGGGCTAAAGCACAGAAACCAGCCAAAGCTGGTTTCCACCTCGGAGGAGACTCTGAACTAATGGCTACGCCTCTGCACGAGTATTAGCTAGAAACCAACCTAACCTGTCAAGGTCAGCCAAGAAACGGACAATGGATAAAGGGGAAAAGATATAGATGTCCCCCTAACATTGGTAACTACCACCAGTCCCACAAATGGTCTGTCCTGCATTCGTGCTATCTCTGTAGTCAGAAAAACTTCAAGGGCTGAATGTAACTCCGTATGGTCCTAAGTTAACAGTGTCTCCCGGGAGCCTGCAGAAGTCGACAAACCCTGCCTGGAGACATGCAACTCGAAGTCCAGCCGTGAGGAATTCAAGCACCAAGGGACATAACCAAGAGAGCCGGCGTAATGACAGTGATAGTTGCTAAAGGAGACTGGAAGGCAATAAGCATTCATTGGCGATGAAGAGGGTCACCACGTCATGAGGAAAAGGTTCAACTCACCGGAAGGATATAAGATTTTTAAACTTGAATGTACCTGACAACATATCTTCAAAACGTCTATGTAGCAAATTGACAGAGCTTCAAGAAAATGGAAAACAATCCACCATCACCAGGGGAAATTTTTTTTAACAAATTTCTCTCTCAGTAATTATTAGATCGACCTAATGTAAAATAAGAAGGCTAGTTTATCATTTTAACAGTAAATTTAATAAGCTTAAGCTAATAAGCATACATTAGACCAAAAGTTGGAGAACAATCTTTTCAAGCGCATATGGACTATTTACGAGTGTTGATCATATGCTAGGTCTCAAATCAAGACTCAACAGGAGACTCCTGGCAAAGACAGCAGAGTGGGAGGACCCTAAATGGATCTTGTCCCATGGGTACAACTAGACAACACTCACATCAGTGCAGACAACCCCAAAAATGACCCAAAGACTGGCAGAAGAGCCTCCACAACTAAATGTAGAGAAGAGGCCACATTAAAGAGGGTAGAAAGGGTAGAGACATGGTGTGGGCTAAACCCCACAGGTCTGGCTACCAGAGGGAGGGAGCCATGGTTTCAGAGAGGGGCAAGAAGCAGATTATCACACTGGGGAGCCTACTTGGTTCCTTGAAAATGGACGAACCTCTTGCCAGAGTCATCAGAGAGAGAGAGAGAGAGGGAGGTCGTAAATAAACAACCCCCCAAAAGAGGAAAAGTAACAACTGACACCACAGAAACACAAAGAATTGTAAGAGAATATTAAGAAAAATTCTATGATGACAAATTGGACAATCTAGAAGAAATGGATAAATTCCTAGGAACATATAACCTACCAAAACTGAATCAGGAAGAAGTAGAAAATTTCAACAGACCAATTATCATTAATGAAATTCAATCAGTAATCAAAAAACCCCCGATAAACAAAAGTCCAGAGCCAGATGGCTTCACAGGCAAATTCTACCAAACATACAAAGAAGAGTTAATACCTGTTCTTCTCAAACTATTACAAAAGATAGAAGACGAAAGAAAACTCCCAAATGCATTTTATGAGGCCAGCATTACTTTGATACCCAAACCAGATAAAGACACCACTAAAAACCAGAGGTACAGGCCAGTATCTGATGGACACAGATGCAAAAACCCTCAACAAAATACTAGCAAACCAAATTCAACAATACATTAAAAAAACAAAACAAAACAAAACAAACATTCACCATGATCAAGTAAGATTTATTCCTGGGTTCAAAGAGTGGTTCTGTATTCACAAAATCAATGCGACATATCATATCAATAAAAGAAAGAATAAAAGCCTTATGATCATTTCAATAGATGCAGAAAAAGCATTTGACAAAGTACAACATCCATTCGTGACAAAAACCCTCCACAAGATAGGTTTAAAGTGTACATACCTCAACATAAGAAAAGCCATATATGAAAAACCCACAGTGAACATCATAATCAGTGGTGAGAAACTCAGAGTCTTTCCTCTAAGGTCAGGAACAAGATGCCGATGTCCGCTCTCACCACCATTATTTAACATAGTATTGGAAGTTCTAGCCACAGCAATTGGACAACATAAATAAAAGGCATCCAAATTGGTAAGGAAAAAGTAAAACTATCACTATTTGCAGATGCCAGGATACTATCTATAGAAAACCCTACAGACACCACCAAAAAAATACTAGAGATGATAAATGAATTCAGTAGGATCACAGGATACAAAAGTCAATGTACAAAATTCTGTTGTATTTCTATATACTAATAACGAAGTAGCAGAAAGAGAAACTAAGGAAACAATCCCATTTACAATTGCACCAAAACCAATAAAATCTCTAGGAACAGGAGAGGTGAAAGACCTATAACTCTGAAAACTATAAAATACTGATGAAAGAAATTGATGACGACACACCAAAAAATGGAAAGACATTCCATGTTCATGGATTGGAAAAACAAATACTGTTAAAATGTCAATACTACCCAAAGCAATCTACTATTCAATGCAATCCCTATCAAAATACCAAGAGCATTTTTCAGAGCTAGAACAGTCCTAAAATTTGTACAGAACCACAAAAGACCCTGAGTAGCCAAAGCAATCTTCAAAAAGAAAAGCAAAGCTGGAGGCATCACAATTCCAGACTTCAGTTATATTTCAAAGCTTCATTAATCAAAATAGTGGGATACTGGCACAAAAATAGACATAAATCAATGGAACAGAGTAGAAAACCCAGAAGTGAACCCACAACTATATGATCAATTAACCTTTGACAAAGCAGGAAAGAATATCCAATGGGAAAAAGACAGTCTCTTCAACAAATGGTGCTGGGAGAACTGGACAGCAACATGCAGAAGAATGAAACTCGGCCACTTTCTTACACCATACACAAAAATAAACTCAAAATGGATTAAAGGCCTAAATGTGAGATCTGAAACCATAAAAACCCTAGAAGGGATCACAGGCAGTAATTTCTTTGACATCAGCCATAGCAACATTTTTCTGATATGTTTCCTGAGGCAAGGGACATAAAAGCAAAAATAAACTATTGGGACTTCATAAAATAAAAAGCTTCTGCACAGCAAAGGAAACAATCAGCAAAGCTAAAAACATCCTACCGAATGAGAGAAGATATTTTCAAATGACATACCTGATAAAGGGTTAATATCCAAAATATGTAAAGAACTGATATAAGTCAACACCAAAAGAACTAAACCAATTTAAAAATGGGCAGAGAACATGGACATTTCTCCAGAGAAAACATCCAGAGGGCCAACAGACACATGGAAAGATGCCCTCAACATCACTCATCATCAGGGAAATACAAATCAAAACTATAATGAGATACCACCTCACACCTGTCAGATGGCTAAAATCAGCAACACAAGAGACAACAGGTGTTGGCGACGATGTGGAGGAAAAGGAACCTCGTACGCTGTCGGTGGACGTGCAAACTGGTATGGCCACTGTGGAAAACAGTGTGGAGGTTCCTCAAAAAGTTAAAAATAGAACTTCCCTACAATTCAGCAATTACACCACAGGGTGTTTACCCACAGGATACAAAAATACTAATTCAAAGGGATACGTGCACCCCAATGTTTTCAGCAGTATTATCTACAAGAGCCGAATTAAGGAAGCAGCGCAAATGCCCATCAACTGACGAACAGATAAAGAAGGTGTGGTCTATATATATACATGATGGAATATTAATTGGCCATAAAAAAGAATGGAATCTTGTCATTTGCAACAACATGGAGTAAACTAGAGAGTATAATGCTAAGTGAAATAAGTCAAAGAAAGACAAATACCATGTGATCCCATTCAGATGTGGAGTTTAGGAAAGAAAACAAATGAACAAAGGAAAAAGAGAGAGAAAAGAAGAAACAGAGAGGATCAATAAAGCCAAACATTCATTCTTTAAAAATAATAAACCTGAAAAATATTATTTGAGATTCATTGGAGAAGATGTAAGAAAAAACAGGATAAAGAACATTTATGGATGACAAGGGAACACAAGTACAAATAAAGAAAAAAATAAATTATGAACAACCTTATGCTACGGTGTTTAAACAGAGGGAATGGAAAAGTCCTAGAAAAATAAAACTCCTTAAGAAGAAGGGCTATAGTCTATAGCCCTATAACCATTACAGAAGTTTTTAAGAAGTCTCTACAAAGAACACCTGGCCTAAAGGGCTTTACAAAGTCTACTAAACATTCAGGAAAACGAAGTTTTGATCTTACACAGACTTCCAGAGAACAGAAAAGGAAGGAACACTCTCCACCAGATGTCATGAAGCCAGCCCAACCTTGATACCAAAACCAAACAAGGACAGAAGAAAGGAAAATCACAGTACAAGCTCACCCATATACAAAAATGCAAAAGCCCAGGCAGCAACAGATGTAACAAATATTAAACAAAAAATAAGCTATGCCAAAGTTGGTTTGTCCCGGGAATTAAACTTGATTAAATATTGGCAAATGTAAGATTAATAGAATCACTGTATTAACAGATTAAGGAAGAGAGAACTATTTCAACAGATGCAGAGTTCGATCCATAAGAAGTTAATTCATAACAAAAACTACTAGCAAACTGAAATAGAAGGGAATTACCTTGAGTTGATAAAGCAAATATTATACGTGATGAATTTTGAAAGCATTTTCTTCAAGATCACAAACAAGGTAAGCACGTTCAGTATCACCACTTTTTTAATGTTTATTTATTTTTGAGAAAGAGAGAAACAGAGCATGAGCAGGGGAGGGGCAGAGAGAGAGGGAGACACAGAATCCGAAGCAGACTCCAGGCTCTGAGCTGTCAGCACGGAGCCTGACGTGGGGCTTGAACCCACGAACAGTGAGATCATGACCTGAGCTGAAGTCAGATGCCTAACCAACTGAGCCACCCAGGTGCCCCACAGTATCACCACTTCTACGGAACTGAAAACATTAGCCAGTGTGATGCACCAGACAAAGGAAATTTCTAGAGGAAATAGGAAAAGCAAAATGGTGACAATCTGTAGATGAGGCATTGTGAGTCTACCGTAAATTTGAAAGCATCTCCAGATACATTTAAATTAGTTGCTGGAGGGGCGCCTGGGTGGCACAGTCGGTTAAGCGTCCGACTTCAGCCAGGTCACGATCTCACGGTCCGTGAGTTCGAGCCCCGCGTCAGGCTCTGGGCTGATGGCTCAGAGCCTGGAGCCTGTTTCTGATTCTGTGTCTCCCTCTCTCTCTGCCCCTCCCCCGTTCATGCTCTGTCTCTGTCTGTCCCATAAATAAATAAAAACGTTGAAAAAAAAAATTTTAAATTAGTTGCTGGATACAAAAGTCAAAATTAGAAAGTCACTTGCATTTCTACACAGCAACAATCAATTAGAAAATAAAACTGGTACCAAAAGTTACCACTTATGGTAGCAAATAAAAAGTCTATGCAACCAAATCAAATAAAATATGTAAGACCTTGATGACAAAACTTGTGAAACTTTAAAGTCATTAAAGAAGAGTTAAATAAAATATATAACAGATTTATGGATAAGAAGACTCAATATTGCAAAGCTGTAAATTCTCTTCCGATGGAGCTCTAGATTCAATAAAATTCTAATAAAAATTTCAACAAGATTTTTCTTAGAACATGGCAACTTGCTCCTATCACTTGATTTGAAAGAGCCAAGGCAAAAGAATATGCAAGGTATGTCTGAAGAAAAAGGACAGGCTGAGAGACCAGCCCTACCACATGTCAAGATGTGTTATAAAGTCACTGTAATTTTTCAAAATCAGTATTGCTCACGGACAATTAGATCAATAGAACAAAACAGAAAGCCCAGAAATGGACCCAAATACCTCTGGAATTTAATTTATGTCAGAGAGGGCATTACAGACCAGTGAGGAAAGGGTAGGCTATGGATAAGTGCCCTGATCTGGAGACGATCAGTTCTGTCTCCAGAAAGAAAGAAAATCAGATTTTATCTCAGAATATACAAAAAATTAACTCCAGGTAGATGAAAGGCAAAGTTTAAAAAATAAAACTATAAAAGCTCTTGAAGGCTAAGTAGGAGAATAATCTCACGCCCTCAAGTAGGGAAGGATTTCTTAAATAAGACATCATAAGTATAAATTACAAAGGAAAATACCGATATATTCAATTACTATAGGTTAAAATTAAGTTCTGTTTATTGAAACACATAAGTAAAAAGACATGCCGCACACTGTAAAAAGATATTTGTAACAAATAATGATAAACAGACCAAACATTAGGAGCCCTAATATGCAAAGAACACTCAGAAACAAGCAAAAAGGATAAGCAAACCAACAGAAAAATAGGCTAAACACCAAATCAGATTTTCACTTACTATCAAACACGATCAAATATGAAAGAACATTCAACCTCATTATTAGTCATCTGGGAAATGCAAATTAAAACTTTAATGAGGTACCATTACACACCAAACAGGTTATTTTCAAGTTGGACAGTACCCAGCATTGGAGAAAATGTAAACGTCAAAAGAAAAAAATACATATAACTACCATATAAAACTGCGGAGAGCAGAAATTGGGAAGACCTTTCTGAAAGTCTGGGCTTGCTTAGGGGAGTTAAACATGCACATGCCCTACGACCCACCAATTCCATGTCTGGTGGTGATTATGAGAGAGGTTCCTCTCTGGTGTATGTACAGAAACGTTCACGGCAACGCTATGTGTGAAGCAAAAACACTCCAGATGGCTTACGTATCCATCCACGTGAGAACAGAGTAATTCACCTGCTCTGCCCACGAAATGGATACCACGTAGTGGTGAAAAATGAACGAACTACCGCCAAACACATCCATGTGACTGTAGCTCAGAAACAGAAATGTAAACAAAATTTGAGGAATACGTGCTATACGATTCTATTTATCTAAAGTTTAAAACCGTGTACTACTGGGGCGCCTGGGTGGCTCAGTCGGTTAAGCGTCCGACTTCGGCTCAGGTCATGATCTCTCAGCTTGTGGGTTGGAGTTCTGCGTCGGGCTCTGTGCTGACAGCTCGGAGCCCGGATCTTGCTTTGGATTCTGTGTCTCCCTCTCTCTCTCTCTGCCTCTTCCCCATTCATGCTCTGTCTCTCAAATATAAATAAACATTTTTTTAAAAACTTAAAAAATGTACTATTTTGTATATGGACACATCCCTGTGTTTTAGACTATAGAGAAAAGCAACAAAATGATTAACAGGAAACCCACAGTAGTGGTTACCCCAGTGGGAGAGAAGGTAAGGAGGGAGGGCAAGGAACTTGTAAGATTCCAGTAAGGCTCCGTTTCTTAAGCTGAGTGGTAGCTGCACAGGTGTACATCATCTTATTTTTTTTTTTATAAATATGCATGTTTAGGGGCACCCGGGGTGGCTCAGTAGGCTGAGCGTCTGACTTTGGCTCAGGTCATGATCTCACGGTTCGTGAGTTTGAGCCCTACATCAGGCTCTGTGCTGACAGCTCAGAGCCTGGAGGCTGCTTCGGATTCTGTGTCTCCCTCTCTTTGCCCCTTCCCTGCTCATGCTCTGTCTCACTCTGTCTCTCAATAATAAATAAATATTAAAAAATTTTTTTAAATATGCATTTTTACATGGTATAATTCACAAGTTTAAAGAATCTACTTAGACCGTTCTAATCTGCAATTTTACCCTTTAGAATTTACAAATATAGACGCCTTCTAGTTACATTGTAGGTTATATTTTCTAGAGGGATAAGAAGGGTCAATGCCATTTAGAGAACACATATGTGAGTGTACTTGCTCTTACCAGTGCCGTGCGAGGTAATTAAAATTAAACTCAAACTGGCTCAACACATCTCCTCCTAGGGTACAAGAAAAATATGTACATTTGGTCCATCAGAGACAATATGTAGCATGCTTCCTTAACACAAATTTGGATAATTCAGGTTATTTATCACATGGTCACACGTTTCTGTTTGTTGTTTCAGATATAGGCATATCTTTAAGAAAAAGGCGATCTTTTATATCTTAGGCAGTGAAACATATGAATTAAGAAAAAATACCCGTATTAAGAGTTTTTCACTTGAAGGAAAGACAAGCCATGAAAGTTCTTTAAAAACCCCATTCACCATCTACTTTGGATATCGGGAGGTAATTTACTACGGGAAAAAATGGAAGATGCCACTTTAAAGCTGAAATATTAGGTGATAGTAGCTAAGGAGTTTCAACCTGATATAAAGTAAAGCTTTTCTAAATTATGACACAAGTCAATGATGAAATGTGATTTTTTTAAATAAAAAAATACACATACGCAACTTTTCGGAAATACATTTCTATGTAAAATATACCCATACTATGAATTATTAAGATAGCTAGTTAGTATATGTACTGGTAAGATAGGATAAAAAATGCATATTTTACTTTAAATATTTGGGTTTTTTTAGTATAAGTTGAATTTTACACACAAACACACACACACACACACACACACACACACACACACACACACGAGAAAGAGATAATGCACCAAGCCTACAGGAACTATGCACGTCTTTGCCCAAGGACGCTCCCAGAAGCATTACTTACTATCTAGACACCTGCCTGTTTATTAGACATTTCACAAAGTGACTTAATACCTATTTCATAGAGTATGAAAACTACATTTTTACTCAAGGGAACCACATAGCCAGTTCTAATTCATTATGAAATGGTCTCAGTTAAGGAGAAAGAAGCAAGTTACTAAAATAGGGGAAAAAATACAGAGTTAAGATAGTGACTCCATAGCAAGTGAGATATAACCACTGCAAAAGAAAATTTGGCAAGTGTAAATAGTACCGAAGTCACCAGCCGAATGCGCCTCCGAATAAGAGCCATGAAAATCAACCTGAAAAAGAAAGAGAAACACCCGATGTGTGTGTATGTATACATCACAAACTGTAGCCCAAACCCCTACCCCACAGCCAAACCAGTAGTGGGAAGGTGAATGTCTGTCTAACCGAATGAAATGCTAAGGGTACATACGGATGGACACAATTTTCAAAGCCATGTTTCATTTTATTATTTTATTTTACATTAATAAATATCTATTAAAATACTTATTTTATTTGTTCAAAACTATATTGGCCGCCGAGTTGTATACCTGTTGTCTGGTAGTAAATAAAGCTATTGCAAATGTTTGCGCCTCAGAGGATATATACACAGTCTTGACTGAGTCCAAACATAAGCTTCTCACAGAATGGTACTAATGCCAACTGGTGACCAGAAGGGACTTCCAGAAATAAGTCACCAGGTAAGATCGTCATTTTCAGTTTGGGGAATGGCGTTTTCATACAGAACATTCAAAAAGATGGGCAAAATGGATGAAGGGGGGGAAGGAGGTACAGGCTTCCAGTTAAACGGATTAATCACGGAAATAATAGGTACAGCACTGGGACACAGTGATGGTAGTATAGTGGTGTTATGTGGTGACAGATGGCAGTGACACTTGTGAGCTCGGCATAATGAACCGAGACGTCCAATTGCTACGTTGTACACCTGAAATTAATGTAACAGCCTATCGACTACACAACAAAATTTAATTTGAAAAGGTAAAGAAAATTTAAGAAAAGAAAAAACAAACATGCGGAACCATTACTTTCAAATAGAACTAAGTGGCAGGTCTTTACATCCTTATTAATACACAACATGAATAAAGCATGAAATTTCCCCAATATTGTTTGTGACTAAACAGAACATCCCATTTATTGCCGTTTTCAGTGCACATTAGTGAATGGCTAATGCCTGTGTGATGAATGTATAGGCAGCAGGAAGATTAAGAGGCATAAATAGTAATGGATGGAAATCTAACAAATCCTGCTTTGGGCAAGAAATCTTGCTTCCAAACAGTAGCCAAATTATGGGAAGAGCCCAAATGTTCCTCAACTGATGAACGGATAAATAAGATGTGGTTTATATACACAATGGAATACTACTCGGCAAAGAGGAAGAATGAAATCCTGCCATTTGCAACAACGTGGATGGAACTGGAGGGCGTTAGGCTAAGCGAAATGAGTCAGAGAAAGACAGGTATCACATGATTTCACTCATATGTGGAATTTGAGAAACTTAACAGACGATCACAGGGGAATGGAAGGAAAAACAAGATAAAAACAGAGGGAGGCAAACCATAAGAGACTCTTAAATACAGAGAACAAACTGAGGGTTGATGGGGGTGGGGTGCAGGGGAGAGGGGAAAATGGGAGATGGGCATTGAGGAGGGCACTCGTTGGGATGAGCACTGGGTGTCGTATGTAAGAGATGAACCACTGGGTTTTACTCCTGAAGCCAAGACTACACTGTATGTTAACCCGCTTGAGAATAAATAATAAATTATTCTTAAAATAAATAACATGACCTCTGAATAACCTCAAGTTTTCCTCTCCTCTAAAAGGGTGAGTTTTTAATCCTGGGTGGGAAACACTCCCATAGCATCATTAACCCAAAGACAGGTACTCACGGCTGCCATTGTCCTGAGGAACCCTTGCTGGATCCCCAAGCTGTGCCAGCTGACATCGGCCACCATGTGAGAGGTGATTCCCAACAAGAACGCCACCAATTTCTCTGTGTCCTGCCAAAGAAGCAAATTAGAGTCCTAGGTGCTTGGGTTGGTCTATAAAAATCCTATTAACAGTTTTAATAAGTATGATTTCCATTACTGAGACTTAAACACTAAAATTAGAGGCAGGTACATTGTAGTTTCCAGTTACAAAAACCACAAAGGACTCTTCAAACTATTTTACAGATTTCAGATTAATTACCCTTGGAGCAAAACAGTGAAGTGACATACCCCAAACATTTTTAAGTGGTTTATTCAGATATTAACTGGCCATATGCTATGTTTGGCATTGAAGGTATGCAGGGGTGGGGGTGGGGGGCAGCGCTCCCAGAGCCTGGTGTGGGGACGGGGGACAAACAGAGTAGATGCAGACATAAGCAAGGGACTCGGCGGGTCTAGAACAGAATTTCTTCTTGGCTTTAGGGCCGTGCCTACCTTCTCCCAAGGAAGAGGATAGTTCTCTCGGATGTAATGAACGCTCGCATTCAGAAATGGGGTCCAGTGAGTGCTCTCAGACACATCATGGAATTGCCCTGATGAAACAAAAGGTGTCAGGAGTCTTTCTTTAAAAGCTGGAGATTCCCAATCAAATCTGCCGCCACTGCTGCCCGCTACGACCCTCCTCCTCCTCCGCCTCCCCTCCGAGTCTCTTAGTTTCTTCTGTTGATGTTCAGAGGAAGCCTCTAGAACAGAAGAGCCAGCACAAAGAGAGGGAGAAAGGAGCCTGACCTGGCTCACAGCATCTTGAAATCACCTGGGCTGCCATGGAAGCTGGAAGGGTTTCCAATTCTGTGCTCTAAAGGGAAGGAGGGGAGGGGGCGCCTGGGTGGCTCAGTTGGTTAAGTATCCTACTCTTGATTTCAGCTCGGGTCATGATTGCTCGGTTTGTGAGATCGAGCCTCACATCAGGCTCTGCACTGACAGGATGGAGCCCGCTTGGGATTCTCTCTCCCTTTCTCTCTGCCCCTGCCTCAAAACAAAATAATTTAAAAAAATAATAAAGGGAAGGAGAGAAAGGGTGTGTGGTGTGAGGGGAGGTGCAGTGGGAGGGGGGCGTATAGGTGTGGGGGGGTGTATATGTGCATGTGTGCAATCTCCATCCATCACAGTCCACCCCACCAGCACAAAAGACAACAGTAGATATACTCCAAAGGCTTTCAAGTATTTTAATTTACAACAATTGTTTTATAATGGCACCGGCCCCAAGCATCAGCTGAGTGTCTTAATTCCCTTTATTTACACAGCGGGGATAAGAAAGACGGGACCAGACATCTACTCGAAAACTCCCAAAGCCACACATTCTTCCTGGGGTGTCCAATGTCACAAGGGGCAACTGAAACCAAAACTCCAGAGTTTAGGTCCCTCAGTTCAAGTATTTTCACTGTCGCTAAAGTAAAAACAGCCTAACCAGTTTTCGATCATTGGTTTTTGTGGAAATGATTTTCAGAGACACTGCAACTAAGAAATTTGATTTGTGCTAATGGTTTTCCTAGAGATAAAACTTCTAATTCCTATTTTACAGAACTCAGTACAAATCCAAAATTAAGTATAGAGGTAACCGTTTTGACAAACCTCCCCTTAACCAAATTGCCTTTTGTTCCCCTCTGGAATCTGACCAGAAGCAAAAGAAAGCCCACCCGGGGCCTGGGGGTGGGGCTGGGGGGGGTGGCAGCCAGCAGGTACCTGTCCCCACAGCCAAGCTGTGTTACAGGAGTCAGCAGGGTTCCTTCCATTCCTTGCTAAGATGGTCCTCATTGTTGTAGTTACAGGATTTGTTCAGTACTAGGTAAAGTGATGCAACGGAAGCGTAAAAACAAAGCTGTTTCTTTGGCAGCTGAGCATTTGAGAACATTTGCTTTCGAAAGAGGCCATAAAAGTGAACCCCTAAACATGAAAGAGACAGGTGCTGTGGAAGTAGGTATGTGTGAGACCAAGGGGAAATCTGGAAAATTTCATAAAAGTCTAAGAGGAGTCTGCATCGAATTCCTCATAATTGGCACATATTTTATAATTTTTTTATTTTTTTATTTTTTGAGAGAGACACAGAGTGCAAGCAGGGGAAGGGCAGAAAGAGAGGGAGACACAGAATCCGAAGCGGGCTCCAGGCTCTGAGCTGTCAGGGCAGAGCCCGACTCGGGGCTCAAACCCATGAACCATGAGATCATGACCTGAGCTGAAGTCATGCTTAACTGACCCAGGCACCCATATTTTATAATTCTAAGCGACCTCACTGATGAATTGGTCTGTGCTGTTTGGGGGAGGGCATCTACCACTGTGGGAAAAATGGGAAATTCAGGAGAGTGGGGACCCCTTTTATACTCTTCTCAAAGCCTGCAGTACTGTGTGTTTAATTGGTCTCTTAAAATGGCACATAGTTAAGCAAGTTTTCTCAAGTTTAATTGACAAAAAAAAAATCATCTTTTTACTTCTTTTTTATGGAAGAGATCAAGGAACTGTTAAATTATCGAGACATTATAGCTCCCTGAACACAGTGTTGGGAAGGGCTAAAGAGGAAATAGGTTTAAAAAAAAAGCTGTAACAAGCACGCAAAACAATAACAAGATTAAGAAAGGATAGTTAACAGACTAAGAAGGAAACAGAAGAAAAAAAAGAAAAACCCAACCTTCCAAACGTGAGAAATACAAAAGCTTAGTTATCTGGGGTCATGACTACAGGTGTGGCACTAAACATTCCACTGACCCTAGGAGCGTCACTGTATTCAACCAAACATTGGGATAATGGCTATGACTCCAAGATTCCAAAAATGGTTTACGTGATGACCAGTGTACTGGATGTCTTCCATTTGTCCCTCAGATCCACGGTCACCCTTCTCTGCCCCACCCTGTGCCCCTAGGACCTGTTCAACTGGTCTCGTTGCCCTCCAGCTTTGCTTGGGTTTGGCCAATGGGGAGAGCACAGAGGAGATCAAAGAGAAGGGAGAGAGAGACAGATGGGGGTATTCATTTTCCCGGCTCCCCTGCTGTGGGGTCACAGGGACTGGCTGTGTCCACAGCTGAAGGTCTGGCCCCAGCAAGTGGTCCCCCATGCAGCAGCCTGTCCGCTAACTGCCCCCTCCCTGCACTATCCTCCCCAGTTCTCTTATATTGTGCCCCTGTCTTTGTAAATGGTCACCTTATAAAACACCCCAAATCACTCCACTGGGGAGCACCTTCCATGCCTGCTGGGGACTCCGACTGACACACCCATAAGCCCAATTTGCTGATAACACCACCTCAGGTCTGCAGAACACTTGACAAAATCATACGCATTAACACCAACAAAAATCCAGTAAAGAGGCAAGCAGGCATTTTTACTACGTTACAGGTGCGGAAACAGAGACTCAACACGGCCAAGAGTTTTTGAAAGTCACATGCTAACAGAACAAGAACCCAGACCCTTCAATCTTTTTCAAAATGTTTTCTCTTCCACCACAAAGCAGTAAGGGCGCACAGGATCGTGAAAATTCTCAGAATTTCCGTGCTCGAGTAGGTAGGGTTTGATTACGTGGAAAATGCAGCTAACGTGAACCAAGTCATTGACCAACAATAGTGGAAAATATAACGTGCCGTGTGTTTTAAATCCTAGCCATTCCTACCGCTCAAGTGAAGTGACATCGTGTGGTCTGTAACACTCCACCTTACCTCTTTCGCAGATGCTGGGGTAAAACGCATCAGGAAACACGGCTCCCGCCTGATACGCGTCCTGGTGTTCAAGCAACAGCTGGGGAGCAGGAAAACGGAGAGATGAGGGGCAAGAGGCAGCAGCCTGGGACAGGCCCACCAACAACAGGAGGATGGAGGGCAGGCATACGTGATAATAAAAACTCACGCGTAATCCAAGACAACGCCCTACAATGGAGAACCTTGGGTTCTGTCCTAGCAAACACAGGCGGATCAAGAAGTAGCAAAAATCACTTATTTGCTCCGTTCACCCAACAGAGCGGGATTTCCCCAAGGCTAGTTCGCCAACTGCTTTGTAGAACGATTTTCAATGATCCAGTGAAAAATCAGTGAAAGAGAGGAATACAGACATACATACGTGTACATAAAATACACACATACACACAATATACGCACATATACATTTACACAATTGACCCTTGAACACAGATTCGGACTGTGCAGACCCACTTATATGCAGATTCTTCTCACTAAATGTAGTAGAGTACTCTAAGTGTATTTTCTTTAATGTATTTTCTCATTAATGGTTTCTTTACCTTGCTTTATTAGAAGAATACGGTATATAATACATATTATACAAAATAAGTGTTAATTGACTCATCAGTAAGGCTTCTGGTCAACAGTAGGCTATTAGTAGTTAAGTTTTGGGGGCGTCAAAGTTATATTTGGATATTCAACTGCCTGGGGGATTGCCCCCGCCCCGCCCCCGCAGCCCCTGTGTTGTTCAAGGGTCCACTACGTACACACAAGTTTATAGCTGCTACCTGTGCTTTAGAGTAAGGTTATGTCTTTTGCGCTTGGGGAGGGAGGGGTCTTCCTTGGGTGACTGGCTCACTCCATTCCATTCTGACCCCCTTCAGGGGGCCCCAGAGGTCTCTAGAGGCTAGAAAGCAAAGACTACATTTCCCAGACTCCATGGTGGAGCCCCCTCTCCCCCCCCCCCCCCCCGCTTCTTCAGCTAGCAGGAAAGTGCCTGGTTTTGCAGCAGAGGTCGGAGGGGCCCAGGTGTTCACAGGTAGAGTACAGAGCACCTATTTTGCTAGTAATGAACATGGCTGAGGTACCAAGGTCCTGGAGCCAACAGTCCAGAAGGCGGCTTCTTACTCTCCAGACTGTGTAGGAGGCAGTTGGATCTGGATCTAGCAACTGGGGCCGTGGCTGTTTGACTAGGCACAGGTGACCCTGGCAGGCCAGTTCGGGGTGTCGTTCTGGGAGCCCTTCCTGGATGCTCAGCCCAGAACATGCTCTTCGAGCGCTCACACGTCGTCAGCACCGAGTTCCCCAATCCTGGGCATTGAGCCCCTCTCAGCAGAAGCTAGCCAGAGGGGTTTCTGTGATCTGCAGATGAACTCTGATGGCCAAAATGGGCAAAGTAAAAGCTTGGTAACCTAAACTTCTTAATTTCTCCCTAAGGACTTACTAATCCCCATCGCCACCACGATGTTTGGCTCAGAGATGCACGTTTGATGAAAGCTAGCTCAGTTAGAGCCCTCACCGAGACTCCTCATCTTGAGCCAAGGGGAGGACACCCTCTTCCCTTTAGGGATTTTCAGCTTGAAGGCTGAGTTCTGGATGGCCCGTGTCCCCCACGGGGAGAGAGACCGCCACTTGACCTGTGGGTGGAGCTCTGCTCCAGGGCTGTAAGTTACGTGGGCCCCTAAAGTCTCCTTGTTCTCTAAAGGTAGCTCGAGTTGGACTTTTGTCACCGCAAAATAATAGTTACCTTTATTGAATATTTACCTTGTCAGCCACTGTCCTAGTTACTTCACATGATAAAGACTCTAGGTGAGGGAGAGCCTGTTACTTAACATTACAACAGAATTCTGAAGTAAGTTTCGAAAAATAAATGTGTCAGCAAAATAGGACACTGCCGGCGGGGTGGGGGGAAATGTGGGGGAGGATGCATCCTTCAGACGTAAAAATGTATTTTTAAGCTACAGAAATAAAAGTAGTAGGATCCTGGCGTCGAAAGAGATCGAAGAGAGTCAAGAAACGGACTCAAGCATACAAAGCACGCAGTGAAGAGGAAAGGGGGGGGGCGTAACCAACAAATGGTGTCGTCGCAACCCTGTGGCCATGAGGGTTCCAGCGCGGCATAACAAGAGACAGATACGAGGTGACTTAAAGAGTTAAAGGCAAAACAAGAAGCCACAAAATTAGGACCAAACTTAAGGAAATAATTGCACAACCTCAGAGTGGGAATGATATTTCTAAGCAAAGCATACAGGCAAAATCCATAAAAGAACAGAACGGTGCACTGAAGTACCCCAAAATGTAAGCATTTTGCGTGGCAAAAAGCACCAGAAGCAAATTTAAGAGAAAAATAACCACGAGAATCATTTGATACATGATGGGGGCTCATATATTTAATAAGTCATTTTTCCACATGAAGATAAATATCCTAATTGAAAAACAAGAAGATATAAATGATTCACATAAGTACTAGAAATAGTTGATAAGCACTTGAAAGTATATTTAACCTCATTCTTAATTCACTAAAATGCCAATTAAATCTCTAACAAAATACCATTTTCCACCTACCAAATTAGCAAAAATGAAAAAAAAAAAAAAAAAAAACAGGCTCCAAAAGTGAATGTTTCCAAACCTGAAGATACCTATCAAGAAATTTCAATGAAATACATGAGCAATTAAGGATATTAATCCTTCCTATAGGTCTTTCCTGTTTAGTTTTGTCTCGTTTCTGGGCCAAACGGACTCCACTAGCAGTGCCAGGGCTGAAGGGGTTTGCCAAACATGGTTAGGAAACTGGCCACAAACAAGGGGACTGAGCACGTAAGAACACGTATCAAGAATGACAAAGGCCAGGCTTCTCACTGTTGGAGAAAGGAGTCACAGATACAGACGTAAGAAGGCTAGAACGAATCCGGTGATGATGGATCTTAACTGGAGATATTTTTGGGTGAACTCATGGTTTTAAATAAATAGGCAGATAAATAGACACCAAAGCCAACTAGAGGCAGAATCTGGGACAATGGAAGCCTCAACATAAACAACAGTAATGTAATACAAACCATTAAAAAGAAATCCGTGAACGTATATGGATATAAGTAAATATACGAATGCGGAAGAAGGAAAGGCTCTACTTTACAGTAGAATGTCGATAAACGTAGAAAGAATAATGGAATAAGATAAACAATTTGGCCACTATCATAATAATTATTTCAGGCAAGAATTATCAATGGATGCTAAAACCGATGGGAAAAACAGGGTATTTACATTACCTTACTATCTCTCCCCATAAAATATTTACTTGCTAGTTAAAAAATAGAAAATACTGGGGCGTCTGGATGGCTCAGTTGGTTGAGCATCCAATTGTTGATGTTGGCTCAGGTCATGATCTCATGGTTCATGGGATTGAGCCCCACATCAGGCTATGCACTGACGGCGTGGAATCTGCCTGGGATATTCTCATTCTTTCTTTCTCTCTCTCTCTCTCTCTGCCACATCCTCTCCTCCCCTCTCAAAATGAATAAACCTTTTGAAAAAGTAGAAAATACTTATTAAGTTTCCATTGTAAAAATGGAAAGACCCCATCTTACCAAAAAATTAACATCACTAAGACTTCTGCTTCCGGGAAGATCGAAGAGATGCACTTTTCTTATTCCCTCTTGCTAAACATAACTAAGAACCCGGCATGTTGTGCGCAAAGTGAGACTTAGAAGCCTCCAGAAGGTGGAGGGAAGTATGCAGATGGCTGGGGAAACTCAGGACCTGAAGACGACACCGTGGAGAGTTCTCTTGATTTTCTTTTGGCCTCTTAATGTCCCCAACTGGATACCAGAAAAACTAGAAACTCCTATGAGCATAGACTAAACACACAAATGAAAGCCACAACAAAAGCCTGTTGTAACCATGCGACCAGGAAAGAGGCAGACTAGCAAGACAGAAAACTTTTAGACAACAGCCTCTCTACTGCAGCCAAACAACACAGAAAAGACTGTGGCCCCACCTTTACCAGGACTTTCATCTGTGCTGTCCTGTCTTCCATCCCTACGCCTCAGGGTGAGTGGAAACCATGGGGAGATCCTAGACCTACAATCCCAACTGGCAGTGACATGGCACCTCACCCCATCCCCACTGGGTGGGACCAGAAAAGGCCCAGGGGAGAGCAAGACGTTCACCACCAAATGACACACACCCCAGCATCTGTAGAGGCCACAGTGAGGAGCAGTATTAGGTACTTCTACCCCTCCAAGCCAGGGAGGCATCAGTGGAGACCCCAGGGGGAACCTTGACCTCTACCCCCAGTTGGCAGTTAGGAGAGTTAGGAGGTGGGTATCCGCCCACTGCAGACCCCTCCCAAAGCGGTGCTGGAAGAAGTCAGCTAAAATAGAAGGTTTCAGGGGCTGAAACCTGGGGGCTCAGCCGGTTAAGCGTCTGACTTGGGCTCAGGTCATGATCTCATGATTTATGAGTTCAAGCCACACATTGGACTCTGTGCTGACAGCTCGGAGCCTGGAGCCTGTTTTAGATTGTGTGTCTCCCTCTCTCTCTCTCTCTCTCTGCCCCCACCCCGCACTCGTGCTCTCTCTCTCAAAATAGACATTTAAAGAAAAATTTTAAAAATAGGTTTCAAGGAAGATCCAGAGTCTCATAACCTGATACCCAAATGTCCAGGTTTCAATCAAAGATCACTCATCAAACCAGGAACCAAGAATCTCAAAAGGCATGAAAAGAGACAACCAACACTGAGATGGCAGAAATGTTATAATTATCTGACAAATATTTTAAAGCAGCCATCATAAAACTGCTTCAATCACAAACACACTTGAAACAACCCGCCTCCCCCAGCCACCACCAAAGCAGTCTCAGGAGAGAAATAGATGAAGAACAGCCAAATGGAAATCCTAGAAACGAAAAATACAATAGCTGAAATAAAAGTTAATATCACCAGAAACCGTACACTTGACATTGTGAGCCTTCTTTTTTCTAGTTAATTTATTTTTTTAAGTTTATTTTTATTTATTTTTTTTGGAAAGATTGAGCATGCATGAGCAGCGGTGCGGGGGCAGAAAGAGA